CTGCATATTACTGATTGGTTGGAAACTGTCTTCAGGTGGAACCGAACGAAAACAAGGCTAACGTGTCACCAAATGCTAGTAACGCTTGTTCCATCATCGTCATAGAATCTAAGAGCGCCCTCTTGTTCATCATGCACTCATCAATCTCATCAAATTTCCTGAACCAACAACACGATCCCAAAGAATTAAGCTGAATAGTTTCTAGGTTTTTCATTTCATTCCATAAACTCAAATGGGTCGTAGGCAGAGCGACTCAGAACTCGGCCGGTTTGCACTTCTGGCCCTTTTCTTGATGGGTGCAATCTTCTGTTGCATGGTGTATCTTTTCCTGTCTATGGTCTCAAAACCCAATAGCATAACTGTTGATTCGGTTTCAGAGTTGGGTGAGAATGGCGGTGAAGTTGCATTGGGGAGTGACGAAGAAGATGGAGAAGATGGAGAATGTTGTGGAGGGATTGAGCATTTGGAGCTTTGGGGTGATGCTGTGAAATGGGGTTCTCAGTTTAATGTCAATTCTTCTGAAGAATGCTGCATGGCTTGTAAAGCTATGTGTGGAGATCAAGGTGGGCCTTGTTTGTGTGATAGTTGGGTGTTTTGTGGGAACAGAGAGGCTTGTGGACTTCGATTTGGTGAGGTATGGTTTCTCTTTGTCTCTTTTGCTTTCAAGAACAGTTTCATTAAATCTGTTATGTATTGGTCTATTCCAGTCAATTCAAGGGAAGCTTTGTGAGCTAATTTAGATGGAAATTTATAATGGGGTTGTGTACTTTTCATACATTGTACAAGAATCTAATGTACTGGTGAAAGAAGCAATTTTGGTCTGAAAATAAAAGAAAGGTGGAAAAAGTGGGCAAGTTATCTGCACTGATTGGGAATGGAAATTGAGTGTTTTCCAATTTCAGGTGCTTGTAGCTGTTATTGATATTTAAATGGATGGGTTGTGTTTAAATTTGGATTCAAATGTATATCTACCAACATCAATTTGGGCATTGTGGAAAGTAGCATCTTGCATACCACTTTTACTTTTGGTTTTAATTGATTACATTCTTTGTAAATCCTTGAGTTGAATTAATTGGTTTGGTTATGAGATGCTTCTCTTATGCATGTTTGTAGTGTTGGTTAAAGAAACAAAAGGATACCTTGGAGCCTGATCGGAAAGACTCAGGTGATCTAGTTATGTGGACTTCTGGATTCATCTTTGGAGAAAGAGAGGTGAATATTTTTGTGCATTGTACTACGTTTCTCTGGTTTTAAAATTACTAATTACAAGTTACAAGCACAAATGACATGATATATTGTATGTTGTCAAAATTTCGGTTCTTGTATATAGGGGTTTGTCTTATGAACATGTGCCAAAGAGTTCTTATTTATGCATTTCCTTAGTGATATATGAACTTATCTTCTATGAGACAAAACAATTCAAAGACATTTTCAGATCAGAGTAACTAGTTACTATGTATAACGATATGTAATCTGGTAGGCGTTTCTTTTTTCTATATGCTTTTTAAGACATTGCTGCACTTGTAAACTGATGAGAATTTTATTCTTGTTTTATTAGGAGTTGATTAGTTCACATAAGCACACATGCCTGTTTAATATTAAAGATAATTGCAAATAACAAAAACAAGGAATGTATGAATATTCAGAGTAGTGCAGTGGAAGTGTTGTAAGCCAACAACCAAACGTAGTTTGCTCTTAGACCTGGCTTTGATAGAGTGGCTTCCCTTTGATTCCTTTTAGCTGACTGCAATTGCATTTGGGAGAAGCTTAGTTCAGGTGAGTCGGTAACTTGAGATTGTAAAAATTAGAAAAAAATTCTTGTATTTTCGGTAAGGGAGGTAATGATTTGAAATAGGCAGTTAGTTTAATGAGCATTACAAGGAGGAGCGCAAATGTGATAAGAGGAGAGGTGGAGGGGAGAGGTGATATTTTTCTGAAGAAAAAGAAAAATAGTATGTGAGAAGAAGAGGGAGGTGACAAGAAATTTGATGTGTTTTGCGTAGAAAAATGACCTGTGAACTAAAAATATATGTTTCATAGATTCTTATGGAATAAAAGTAGTATAATTCATCATTTGTGAAAAAGACATTGCAAGTGGAGGATCGATGAATCTCTCAATCCTTGATATATCTAATGCACATGCACTAGAGTAACTAATTTGCTTTATATATTATAGCAGCTGCTGCAATGAAGTTAGACTATATTTTTTTTTGGGTCATATGTCTACTTGTCTGCTCACGGAATCCATTGCTCAACAGGGTATTGTTGGTTTGGAAACAGAATATGGTGTTCTTCGCATAAAGGTAAATGCTTTCGCTACCGGATTCAATGCCTTATCTCTTTTATCTGGAAACCCTGAGCTAAGGTTTTTTTTTTTCAATTAAGTCATGCTGATACTGTAGTCATAGGGAAAATGGCTTGTATATTTGTTTAAGTTTTTGTACTCAAATTAAACTGTATGATTGGAACATCTAAGTTTTCTTTTGATCTTCAATTTATGCAGCTGTTCCCTGATTGTGCCCCACATTCTGTTGCCTATATTCTTGAGATGTTGCAAACACCTCATTATGCAGGTTGCCACTTTTATCGTGCAGAAGACCGTGGAAGTTTTTGGGACTTGCTAGGAAACCATGTAGAAAATGTAAGTTTATTTGACCTCATAACTTGAAGCTACAACTGAGTTTTCATCTTGCTGACTTAGAGTGCTTGTAAAAGATACTACCTTTTCCTCCCTTGTAGTATGTCATTGCTCAAGAGATGGATTTCATGTAGTATTTATTTCTCATTCAGAAGTTTCTCATGTAAGCTCTATAGGCTCCATTTGGCCCGCCTTTCGCGTTAATACAAGGAACACTTGAAGCGCATGGGGTCATATTTAAGAACATTCCGACAGAGGTCTCTCACGCCATCAGAAGAGGATCAGTTGCCTGGATTGGTTCCGGCCCGGAATTCTTCATCAGCCTTGCCAACCATTTTGAGTGGAAAAACGCGTACACCGTGTTCGGTTCTGTTCTTTCCGAAGACATGGAAATTGCAGAGAAAATTGCCCAGCTTCCATCCAAACAGGAGGTCTGGAGTAGCATTAATGTCTCTGTCTTGGAGAGACCCGTTGATTTATGGGTCCGAAGAATCAAGTCGAACTCATGACATTGCGAAGTCAAGTAAGAACATAAATGCAGATCCAAGTCGGCTATAGTTAAAGAATTCTCTCCAATGTGCTCAGATCATGCTAAGTTTCATGCTGCTTTCTCAGGCTATTAAAATACAAGGCAGCCAAGAAGATCTATTATAAAATACTATGGTAATACGGCCATGTGATACATTTTGTACACATGTTATAATATCAGTGGATATTTATAGATACTATTCCCTAAAAGAGGGGAAAATAAACCATGTCGTCCACCCATATTATAACACGTGTATAAGATGTATCACGTGGCCATACTACCATAGTATTCTATAATTTTTCATATATGAATTCCTCCTTATTAAGTAGATTTGTTTCCTGTTAAATTTGTAGATAACAAAAAATTCCCATAAATTGATTCTATAATTTTGACGATTATGTCTGCATCTATAAGAGAAATGAGCCATTGAGGCCCCACCTGAAGCCAAACAACATTCATTGAAATGCCTCTGAGTTATGGCTTTAGAAAGGAGACTTCCCATAGAGTGGCCCAATGATCATGGCAGCTATCTAAAGCTGCTTCACCAATCTGATTTAGTTGGTCATTGGTAGCTCAATGCCTCGTTGTGATGCTTTAATGCCCCCTACAGTCAAACAACATCATTGTCCTCCTAACTCCTTATGTCACAACAATCTCAAAATATTTCTTGTGTTTGGCATGAACTGGGGCATAGTTCGGGCCAAAACAAATCAGGATCAACATACGAATTAGGTCGGAAAACCCCGATCATGACCAGGGATCAACATACAAATTAGGTCGGAAAACCCCACCATGACCCGGAAAACATCAACATACCAATTATGCATGTTTACATTACCCGAAAAATCAATCAAAAATCAAGTCAATTTGTCCATTATGAGACAGAAAACGTGAGGCATAGCAATTAAAGATCATTAAATGGGCAAGCAAATATGAATCAACAACCCAGAAAGAGAATATTACCAAGCTAATCCCAAACTTGGTTTCATGAGGTGGACCAAATAACCACATGCTATGTAAAGGGGTTAAACCAACCAATGACTACCTACCTGCATTCTAGTCAGATCCCCATTTGCATATTTATATTTCCAGGCAGAAAGTTCTGTACAGGTAAATAAGAATTTCCAATAGGAAACATTAAGGAAAGGCTTGCAACTAATATGTAATCCTGGAAAACGGGCATGAACGTTTAAAACCTTAGTTCCCCATAAACTAACTTTTCCGATAGGCTCCGAGACTACGCTTCATTTTTCCTCTTATGAATCCTACAAATGTAGTTCACCATGTTAGACCTCCAAGGTTTAACAAGACTTAAAAGCCAGTCAAATCCAGAAAAAATTACTGCAGGAAACATTCACTTCCATAGATAAAGTATAGACACTATCAACAGAGAGCCAGCAAACAGCCTTATTCGACGCAGAAAGTTTTATATTACACGAAAAGTCTCGACCATCCATGAAATCAACTTGCGCTTCTCCAATCATAATATGTTAACCAGGGAACTTGAATATGTTTTCTAGGGAACATTGCAAGATCTTGTAAAAGGTTGCACATATTTAGTATGTCACTTACAGAATAGAATCGATGGGTAACGTTTCTTCTGTTGCCAAACTATGAATCGGGGCAACGCATTCATGCAAGAATCCACCTGATCAATGGTCCAGATTCATAGAGCCAAGCAAGTGAACATTTTCCTAGAGTTGATATTAGACATCATAAAAAGCTATCAAAAAGTCACCTTTCGCTACCAAAACAAAGCTCGATAAGATGCCGAACCAGAACAAAAGAATCCTCTTCCCATTTTTATAAAGCAAGCATTCTTACTATCGGATCAAAAGAAAAGAGTAAGATTTTAACAGCTAGAGTTTCTATGCATTAAACCAAGAGATAAACAGAGAGACAACAACTATTCTACATAGTTTTCCTCCACTACACGAACTACAAACTACAAAGATTAAGCTACAATCGCTACAAAGGACCAGAACCAAGCTAAAGTGATCAAGTTTCACATTCTCCTCATCACTTAAAAGGAAAATAATTGTAAAAAGTGGCTCGAAAGCGAAAGTTAAACACAGAACTTACAACTAATAAACTCACAATCTTAGTCCCTAAGATGCAAACGCATTTGGCTGCTATGAACAGGAAGATCATTCGTCCTTCAGAATTTGCGAAAACTCAACCACTGCAAGCCCAGCTATGCCTCCGGAGAGGGCATTCGTTTGGCCTTCTTCTTCTTCTCCGAAACTGCCTTGGCAAAAGCCTCCACAATCCTCTGCTGCGAGTCCAAAATCATCTCGGTCCGCTTCATCTCCATCTCCATCCGCATCGTCTCGATCTCCCTCGCCATCTCCATCTTCATCTGTTCCATCCTCACAAACCCATCTCCCAAAACCTTGATCGCCGAAACCATCTCGGCCACAGGGTCTCTCTCCCTCTCTCTCCCCTCCCTCTCCCTCTTCCCCAATCCAGGCCTCACCGAATTCCCACACTCCCTCATCACCTTAGCACTCCCATACCCCGGCCCTGAACCCGATCCCGAATTCGAATTCAACCCGAATTTCGGATCCATTTTCGGATAAACCTTGGTCCCGGGCTGAGCTATGGGAAAGAGGGAGGTGGGGGTTGGGGGACAAGAGGTGGTGGTGGTACTAACTAAATACACCAATCGGGGCAGGTTTTGTTGTGTAGCAATTGATGGGAGGATGGGGATGTGAGAGGAGTTTGTGTGACTTTGGTGGTGTTTCAGAAAATGGAAGGTCAGTTAATTCTATCACATGGGAACTTCTATTCTATGTGATGTGATGCAATAATAGGAGTTTCAGATTTTATTTATTTATTTTTAAACAAAGGCTTACCTTTTTCGTTTTGTTTTTTGTTTCACATTCAAAGTGGAATTTTTCAAACGTGAGTTAGGCGTGTTAGTTAGAGTAATGAGTCGATGTTCTTATGCTTAAGTTTGAGTGTTTCTTCTAGTAAATTAGATTAATTTAATTTAGAGTAATTTATAATGTTGCCTTTATTTAAATAAAATTAGCTCTACTATTCTCATTCAGGTTACATAAATTTAAAATATTTTTTGTAAAGTTAATAAAAAATTCAAATTATTTATACAATTAATTTTATTAAAAACATTTTAAAAAATTAAAAAAATTCAATCGATTAAAATATTTCAAATTTGATTTGGAAGCAAACATGAACAACCTAAAAGAAAAAGAAACAAAGAAAGATGGAAGGTGGGAAAGATGGTGGGTTGGGGATAGGAGCTATGTTGCACTGACACGAACACGGAGACACGATAACACAACACGGTGACATGAAAAATCTCAAAAAACTAGGACACGAACACGACTAGGACACGGTAATTAAAATAATAATAAATCATAATAAAATTATAATAGTATATACTTTTATTTAAAAAATAATTCATACTCAATATTTCAATGTCATAATACAATAAAACAAAGTACTCATATTCATCATTTATATATAATAACTAATGCACCATAAAATATGATTGAGCATGAGAGGAGGCCTAGCATTACTCATTTTTCCCTAAACAAAATAAAGCACAATACACATATTTATTCACACATAAAACGATTTTTCACCTCATAAAATAAGAATCGGTTTAGCATAAAAAATAAAAAATAAAAAATAAAAGAAATAAAGTGAATAAATTAACCACTCAAAAATATGCTTCTCTCACGACCAAATTGTTATCAATATCATTAGTCAACCAAAAATATCAGCTCTACTATAAAGGAACACAGGAAAAAAAACATATTTAAACAAAAAAAGTGATAAAATTGAGAAAAAAGTATTTTAAAAAAAGTAAAAATAAATCAGTTTGTAAGTATTTATTGATGTTTCAACTTCAAGTAATTTAAAATAAGATGAGAAGAAAAAATATGTGGAGAGGGAGAGAAGAAAAGTTGAGTGTTTTTCATGAGAGATGCTAGGAGAGAAGAAAATCCCAATTTTAAAACTATTTTAAATATGCCCACAATTGTTTCAATAATTATGTTGTGACCCAGTTTTTGTTTTAAAATTTCTGAAATGGTCCCTACCTTGTCTTGACTTCAGTTGACCGTGTCCAAAAGTGTCTTGACCATGTTAAACTGGCGAACCCAAGAATTTTTCAATGGAGATGCAATTTTTAAAGCCTAAAAGCTAAAAAAAAAAGAATAAACAAAATTGGGGTTTGCTCAAAAAGAAAAAAAAAATGCATCCGACTTACTTTGAATTGGCGTACTCAAGAAGGAAAACAAAAACAAGATTCTTGTGATGCACGCACACTTTGATAAAATTGGGTGATGTTAAATTGGTCATTTATAAAGAGAATTCTCAATCCCACTTAAATAAGGAATTGTGCAAGCTATATTAAAGCCCAATTAAATAAAGAGAACTCATAATCCCATTTAAATAAGGAATTATGGAGGCCCTATTAAAAGCCCACAAAATGGCAGCAGGTTTCCTTTTTAAAAAAAAAAAAAATTTTATAAATTTATTTAAAGCATGGTCCAAAACAATGCCGTCAACGATTTAAAAAATAAATTTAAAAAAAGCAGCGCATGTTTTAAAAAGCCTAGTCCAAAACGACGTTGTTTTGGCCAGGTTTTTATAAATAAATAAATAAAAAGCGCGTGCAGCGAGTAGCAGCGCAGCCCATAGCAACCCCCAAAAACAAAAACTTCATTTAGGCATTTCGTCGAACACCTATGCTGCAACTCCAAGGCTGAGCAAAGGTGCAATATGCAACACCTCTTATGGAATTTTCGATGAAGAGAGGTGCAGCTGCACCTCCTTGCACCTTAATTGGTTCGTCACTGACTGTGTCCAAAACGTGTCTTGACCGTTGACTCATGTCCAAGCCGTGTCCACGTGTCAGACACTCCGACACTTCAGCCTAATGGAGTGTTCGTTCTACATAGAATAGGAGGGGTGCCCTAGTGTTACTATATGATCACTACCATAGTCTAAAATATCGATAATATTGATGAAATATCGAGGATATTATCGTTTTTTTGAGTCAAAGATATTTTGGAACATATCCATACACTTATTGTATAAATATCGATAATATCGGAAAATATCGATATCAATAATTTCTCACACTTTAGCAATATTTGGCCAAAATATCGCTATAATATCAATAATATCGATAATATCGAGATGATGAAGACAATGAAAAATTTGAAGATTTATTTACACTAACACCGTTTGAGGTTTCTTGTGTTTTCACAAAAACCCCTCAGGTCTAAAAAATTACACGAACACCTCATGAGGTTTCATTTTGTTTTCACAAAACCCCCTCCGAGTAGATTTGTTTGAAAATCAATTTTTGGCTTATACAAATGACAAAATTAACCTCAATGAAGTACATGCAATCTAATCTCAAAGGCCAACTTTGTCATTTGGAGATTTTTTATATATATAAAATCATCAATCTTTGGATGAAAAATCAATGAAAATGAGTTTTGTGACAACAATTTAAAACCTCATGGGGTGTTCTTGTAATTTCTAAAACCTCAAAGAGTTTTGTGAAAAAACCGAAACCTCAGGAGGTGTTAGTGTAAATAACTCAAATTTGAACCTTATAGGAACTCTATGTGGTATTAAGTCATTTATGTATCTTACCATGCAATGCATAAACTGTAAAATATTGTAGTAAATCATTATAAATAAATGATTATGGTGTGTTTAATCTTCTTTTATTAATTACTACATATTTTCTACAATCGCAATGTTTGTCAACTCGCTATATAATCAACTTAAATAAGTTAAATCCATCATGCAATGCATTTCCTTCTAATTTTTTGTGATAAAGTAATAGATAATTGACTAAATAAACATCCTAAAAAGTTTCCAAGTTTTTCTTACAATTTCCGTGGTTTTTATTCAATTTTTATCGATATTGATAATATCCCAATATTGTCATCGAAATATCCGTGTTTTTGAATTACCGATATTTCAAAAACCATCGATATTTTAGACATTGATCACTACAATGAGCATTTAAGACAACTATAACTTTGTATATATATAAAAAAGACAAGTATAACCAAAATTTAGAACCAAAAGTCACTTGAAACTTTTTTAATTGTCATATTAATTGATTACAACAATTTCCCCCTAAGATCACTCGCTTGCCTATTAATTATAGGAATTTGAATGCATACCAATTAATTTCGAACTAATTTATTTATTTAGCTAAACAATAGTAAAAAACGCACTGAAATTTTTTCTCTAATTAAAAATTATTAAAAATTAATTAGGAAAGAATAGTTTTAACTCTATTTATATTTACTTGAAAATAAAGAATTAGAACAACGCCATGGTATGGGGGACTTACGGTGATAATGATGATGGTTAGTAGATGGTTCAACTGCAGTTGCTGCAATGTTAATGAACCACCAAGGACAGGTCGAAGGACCTATTACAATTTACAAATATTTTTCTTGGTAATATATTTCCTGGAAACAAGCCCTCTATCAAAACGGCTAAAAGAATTATAAACGAAAGTCGCTATCATCAACAAGAAAACATACCGTACATAATCTATAATATACAAGAGAGAAATACATATAGTATTTTCTTATATTGAAAATTTGACATAAAATACGAGAGTGGTACATTTTGACATACCGCTAACAATACCATTAACAAGAGGGCCTTTGGTATCAAAGCCTTAGAGAAATATATTACTTGTGAACCTCATGTGGTGGTGGAGTTGATAGATGATGAAACGGAGTTTCTTGTAGTAGCAAGTCATTCATTATGGACAGTGATGTTGAACCAACAAGCCATCGATTTCATTGGGCAAATAGTGAATCCTAGAAAGCAGCAAAACACACCTTACTCAACAAGTACCCAATATGCCCAGGCTTGAGATTAAGAGCCCATTACTTAACAGGCCACACAGGAGAGAGAGGAGGAAGGCCTTGCCATCTTTAGCTGTATACGTAAGTTGCTATAAGCTCCAAGTGGCAGCAGCTCATGCTTTGCATGCTTCTGCATATTTGGCAAGATCATAACATAACCCCGCTTCAGCACTTCCCATCCAATCTCGGACTCGGAGGCTTGGTTTGCTGCAAAGGGCCGAAAAGGTATTCCTCTTCTTTTTTGATTGTGGATTTATGGTGTCGATTTTATGCTTTTGGAAGGAAAATGTTGGAATTTTTGTGGGAGGTGCTCACATTTTTGTTGGGTTTGGTTATTTACTGATAGGAACAGATCATTTTTGAGTTTAGTAATTGTGGGTTTCTATCATCCAATGGCATGTTTGTGTTTTGGGAAGTAAGAACTTGAGATCAGGAAAAAACTGTGTGAAAGTAAATTATTTTTGTGGGGAAAGTAATTTTTTTGGAGGGATTTTTGGGCTTTTGCTGTTTCTGTCAACAATGGTTAGATTCAATTGTGGGAGGTGATTTGGTATGTGTCTTGGATTGGGGCTTTGGTTATTAACAGAGAGATTGCCTAGTGGTAAATTAAGACGGGCTCGTTTTGGGAAGTAAGAACTTGAGATCAGGAAAAAAATGTGTGAAAGTAAATTATTTTTTTGGGGAAAGTAATTTTTTTGGAGGGATTTTTGGGCTT